CAATGATCACTCCTCGCTTGGCAGCAGCTCGTATCTCCTCCAGGAGTTCTTCTCGTGAATCTGGTCCATTTCCACTGCCATAGGTTTCAAGGACTACACCTTCTATGGGAGGCTCCAGAAAAGCACGCACCTAATAGGGAGGGGACGGAAGGGTCATAAAACTGTGTACTCTGCAACCACATTTTCAACAATGCTTAACTTATGGGAAGTTGTATCCAAGTTATAATCCTGGTGTGTGACCATCCGAATGAAAGCTATTGAGCAGTACTTTCATGTGGTACTTTTTATTACGCTGTACAAGATGGTTCTAACTTTTAAGTCTATGGATGAAACCCTAGCGTGTGACCATTCAAATGAAAGCTATTGAGCAGTACTTTCATGTGGTACTTTTTATTACGCTGTACAAGGTGGTTCTAACTTTTAAGGCTGTGGATGAAATCCTAGTGTGTGACCATTCAAATGAAAGCTATTGAGCAGTACTTTCATGTGGTACTTTTTATTACGCTGTACAAGGTGGTTCTAACTTTTAAGTCTGTGGATGAAACCCTAGCGTGTGACCATTCAAATGAAAGCTATTGAGAAGTACTTTCATGTGGTACTTTTTATTACGCTGTACAAGGTGGTTCTAACTTTTAAGGCTGTGGATGAAATCCTAGTGTGTGACCATTCAAATGAAAGCAATTGAGTAGTACTTTCACTAGGCTCGATTACCAGCCGCTGTTCGGGAAAGGAGCCCGCGCTCTTCCCCCGAGGAACGTAGACCGGACTTGAGAAAGCGGTGGAAATTGAGCCTCTACTTTCACGTTTGCTGTTTATTATGCTGTACAAGTTGGTTCTGCCTTTTAACTCCATTGTGGCAATTCAAATGAGACCTTTTTGAGCAATTATTGCAAAGTAACACTGCTTATTTTGCAAGTTTTACATTACTTGTCAAAATTTGAAGTTCATGGTTGTACTTTCAGATAGAGAACTATTGAATACATGACATAAATGAACTGTGTAAATACACAGTTAAAAGCACTTACTGCCTCAGGTGTTATACCAGGAAAGATCCTCAACACTCCTATTCTTGAACTCATCTTGGTATGGACTTTGAATTTAGTTGCTTGGTTTTCATTAAACAGCTCCTCCCATTCAACTACAAAGAGCAGGGGGAAAATGACTAAAAAGCTCGAAAAGGCCACAGTTAACTCTTTTTAGTGTAAATGAAACTGAAAAAGAAACTTAAAATGCAGACCATTGGCAACCCAATGATAATGGCTGAATGATTTTTGTGTAATGCTACTTGAAAAATGACAGCGAAACATTCAGAACTTAAACTGCAAAGCTATCTGAAAGCATGTATTTTAGCACATGTTTAATGCACAAAGCTCAGGTACTGAGAAAGGACTTGGGAAAGGAAGGGATTTATGCCCATAATATGCCCCCCTTCCCCCCCTCCCCCTGCCAACTGCAAACAACCAACCCTAACCAAAACTGTGAACCCTCCCTGGCCCAATCCATGCATCACATGTCAACTAAACTAGACTTTCCCCCGCCCACCCAAGTCATGTGTCACTTGCCAGCCCTTAAGAGTAAAGAGAGAGGAAAAACACTCTATCGGTTATTGAGAGGGTGGAGAGGTTCAACACAAGAGAAGTGTCCCCCTGCCTAAACCACAACGCAACAACCCTGTCTAGCCTTAGATTTCCTGGAATCTGAGTAAGATGGATCCAGTTCAGAAGTGGATTCAAAGTGACCTCTAGCATTTCCATCAGCTAGACCTATCTTTATTATACCTTCAATTCCTGCTTCTACCGTAGCCAATGGAGGACAGTTTGGAGAATCAAAGGCACCAAACCTACGTGCATCTACCTTCAA